TTTATCTCCTCCTTCTACACATTCTTGGGTGATCTCAGCCATGCTCTTGGCTTCAACCATCTATATGCTATAAAATCCTGCATCGGAAGGCTGGCCATATTTTCTTCCTTTATTTTCCATTATCTACTATACATCTCCACCAGGATGTTCTTGACTATAGGTATTTCTCATCTTCTTAGGTCTGCCTTCCACCTCACTCCCCTCTGCTGTGATCTGTTCCTCCTTGTTTCATTATTTCAACTAATGTTACTACCACCCACACCCTTGCATAAGCTAAAAACCCAGAATTAGCCCCAGTTCTTTGTATTTTCCCATCCCTCACTTCCAAGTGGGCACTGAAATGTGTGTTTCCCCCTCTATGTAGATATCACATCTGTCTTCCTCTCTCCCCACTGGTGCTGCCTGGTTCAATGCTTTTTACTTCTCACCTCTTTGCTGCAGTAACTTCCTGCCTTGTCTCTCTCATCTCCAGTGTGTTTCCTTCTCTGCTATAGTAGTCTTTCTAAAATGGATTTTCGTCATGCCCTCCATCAGTGGCTTCCCATTTTGTTTACTGTGGGAAGCCGAAGGCTTCATAATTGGGTCCCTGCTGACTCTTTGTATGAGTTCCCAAGAACTGCCGTAACAAGTCACCAGAAACTCAGTAGCCTGAAACAACAGAAATTTCTTCTCTCATAGTTCTGGAGGGAAGTAGTCAGAAACCAAGATGCCAGCAGGGCTGGTTCCTCCTTGAGGGCTCAGGAGCATCATTGTGTGCCTCTCTTCTAGTTTCCAGTGATTGCCAGCAGCCCTTGGTGCTCCTTGGTTCGGAGATGCATTGTCACTCCAATGTCCGCCTCCGTCTTCACATGGCTTCTCCCCTGTGTATCTCTGTCTTCAGATGGCCTTCTTGGAGGGGTACCTAATTACATCTGCAAAGCCTGTACTTCCAGTGTCACATTCTGAGGTTCCACCAGGTTCCATGAGTTTTTTGGAGGATGCCATTCAAACTAGTACACCCTTCCAGCCCCAGCTCTGACTACTCCTCAACTTATTCCTTTACTTTGGTGCCCTGGATGGGTGAGAATTCACTAGGCAGACAAGGAGAAAAGATACCAACAGAGGAAAGATGATGTCTGAAGGGCCACAGAGAGGGTGAAATTTGAGCTGTCTCTTAATATAATAATGCTTTATTTTATGTTTTTTATGTGTTTCTTTCCCTTTTTTTTTTTTTGCGTCACTGTATTTTAAAACATAGCTCAGATGTTACCTCATTTACAAAGCCTTCCCTGACCTTCCCAAGGACATTGCTATTCCCTCAGTACTTAGTGCCTATGTGTCTTGTGACCATCACTTGTATGTCTTGATTGTTTAATTATTAGCTTGTGTTCTCACTCAGCTTATGTGGTCCTGGGGCAGACTCTTCATCTGTAAGGCCATGCTTCCAGCCCTCTGGCTGGCACCTAGCAGGTGCCCAGGAGATATTTTTAAATGAGTTTACCCATCTCGTTTAATCCCTTAAGACGTGATGACATACATTTGAGGGGAGGAGTCGTTCAGTCCTAATTGGACAGCTCTTTGCCTTAGATGAGGTGGAAAGGATTGAACATGGAGGGAGGTTATATTGGATCACCTCCAAGGTTCCTTCCATCTGGAAGTTCTATTATTCTAACTACAGCCCCTTCCAGAAAAAGTACAATTTTTTAAGGCAGATAGACTGAAAATTGTGCAATTGCTTGGTTCCACGTTGCTTTCAGAAGCTTCATTGCCATTAGAAGAACTCAGTGCTACCATGGACATCATGCAGAACAGGACAATCACAGCTTTGAGAGATACCGAGCACCTCACACCTAATTTGGAGGAGAAAGAGCTATGAAAAAAGCTGTTCCCATCCAGCAGATGCAGTCGTAAAACTCAGCTGTTTTCCCATGTTCCTTATTTGGATAAAAGGATTTTAAAGACTATAATTCAATGCTTTTTTGATTCCTATTTCAGGTGAATTGATTTTAATACCACCTTGCTACAGATTCACTGAAAGTCACCTTTTTATTTTTGATGGGGAAAAAGGAGGGGTTTAGCTGTGGAGAAAACCAGGAAATGGGGGCATTCAACTACAGATCCAAGGGGGTGATCAAGGTGCAAGGATATTTTTGGAGACAGCAAACACCCAGTATGTAATACTTTTAAACATTCATTTTTCTAATTACAGTAAGCTGTGCCTCACTGTTCATTGGTACTAATTATTATACCAAGAGGGCATGTTAAGAAAAATTGCCACAGACTGTAAACAGTCACTTTTTAATTCTGAAGAACAGTTTGAGGTAAAATGTTATTATTCAAATAGCTTTGAAACAAAAGTGACTTATAAAAATATTTCACAAGCCCAAGTTAGAAATAGTACCTTCTGTGATTCTCAAAGAAAATGCCCAGCCCCCTTGTTATGGAAACAGCACAAATTCTGTGTCATGCAGTTTCACTTTTATACAAATGGGCACCCTTCAGAGCAGGCAAGAATTGAAGGAACACTGTTTCTCCCTGCAACCAACTCTGAATTATGCAGCCAAGATTCAGCTAATCACAGCCTGCTGTGTGTGTCATTATACAGCAGCCCTTTGCAAATTGGGTTAATAATTTTCAGAAACCCCATCCCATGTCAGAACCACTAAGTGAAGCAGCTGCATTGGTGAGAGGGCTTTGCAAAGTTCAGAGCCATTTGTGCGATTTCTCTCTTTCCTCTGGGGCAGGGACTCCTAACATAGGATCCAAGACGACATCAGGGAGCTTGTGAACTGGGATAGGAAATAACGTGACAACTTTACTTTTTATGCACTTCTAACTAAAATTTCACATTAAAATTATATATACATACCAGGGGTGCCAAAAAATGTATACAAGTAGACACTTTGGTCAACGTTGGTCAAGCAGTAGTTCACCATAATCAGAAATGTCTGGACGCTGATGGTAACCACTTTGAGCACCTCTTGTAATTGCAGAAGTCAAACGTGACTTGTATTTATCTTTTGTTATCAGTATATATTGCGTATTACAATTTTAATACAGTTTTCCTTTCTTAAAATATGCATACATTTTTCGGCACTCCCAGTATATGTATATATATGTGTGTATATATACATATATATGTAAGCCACAATCCATAGTGGTATTAGTGTTACTTAGAATTTTGTCACACACACAGAAATCACAGATAACTTGGAATACTGTTTCCTTTTCACTACTTCAAAGTTACTATTATTAGACCATCTGTTAGGTCTATGAAACATGTTAATCAAGAATCACATAAAAATTTGTTTCTTAATATTTTAATAACTATATATCAATATAATGCATTTCCAGTGTGAATCTATAAGAAGTATTTTATGCATTTAAAAATATTATTCTCCATGAAAAACAAGGGAAGCCTCAGGAACTGTCACAGAACCAAGAAGACTAGGGAGATAGGACAACTAAGTGTAATGAATATCATGGCCTGGATCTTGGAACAGAAAGAAGACAATAATGGAGACACTGGAGAAATCCATGTAAAAACCTGGAGTTTAGTGCAAAATAATGTGCCAGTGATGGTTTCTTAGTCTTGACAAGTGCACCATGGAAATGGAAGATATTAAAACAGTAGGGAAACTGGATGAGAGGTACTCAAGAACATTCTGTAGCCTCTTTGCAGCGTTTCTGAACATCTAAATTTATAGTGAGAGTCCCGGTGTGGGGTCTGCTCCCTGTTCCCACAAATGTGTGAGGTGGGGGTTTTGTGTGAACTCAGGGCTCTGGTGGCCTCTTCCTGTTACAACTCTGAGGAACTATGGAAAGGAGGCAATCCGAAGGTAGAAAGTTTTCCAGAGAAGTGAAGTAATTTGCAGTGTATTATAGTGGAAAAGGCATGACTTCGGGCTCTGGACTTCTTCCCCCTTGTATAATGTGGCCAGGGTCACTGTGAGGACTCAGGATAACGTGCCCGCTAGGCAGCCCTTTCGTTGGTTTTAGCTGGTATGTGCTAATGCCTGTTCCATGCCAGGTACCATGCTAAGCATTGTTCATAAATTATCTAGTTTAATGTTCATAACACCTGTGATAACATGACCATTTAATGGATATGGAGACTGAGGGTCAGAGGTTCCATGACCTCACTGCCCGAGGCCACTAAGCTGAACTTAACTTCAGACCTGCACAGACTGTAGTTTGTGGTCTTCTGAAGCCTTCTCTCCAGGCTAAGCCTTTCCTGACGACCCGAAAGGTCTGGTAATAGGGTGCTCATTGCTCTCTCTGATTTCTGAACCCCGTCTCGTTTGTTTTGCACATACATCCATATCCAGATGCCCTCTCATGACATGTTGCCCATGTGGCTGGCTTCTCCAGACTTGAAGTCATTCAACTATAAAGTGAGGGCGTTGGGCTCTCCAGTCTGTCCCAACATGGAAGGTCTCTTCCTCATTCTGTGATTTCTAACTGCTTATTTCAGTTGTTTGATGGGATGATTACTGAAGCACTGAAGTAAATTTTTTTTTCTAATTTGTCTTAAGCATTTCTGTATAATTCTCCCAGACTCCAGAGAGGAAAAAACAAAACTAAACAAGAGCTCTAAGCCTGACCTTAAAACCATATCAATTAAAAAAAAAAAAAAGAACCCAGCGGAAGCCACTGTGACATATACTTCGTCCTTAGTTGGGATTTTGTTGCGGGATTACCCTGACGGACATGAGAGTAATTTTATTTTATTGTTTCCTTCTGTCATTGGAGAGGAGACACCATGTGTCACCATGTACTTGCCACTTATTTCCAATTCAAGTCTATTAAGGGTGGGGAGAAAAGTAGTTAGTGGTATCAGGTATTACCTGAGCAGGTGAATTTAGCCATAAGAAGTAGTTATTAGGTAATGAGCCTGATTTCCATAAGCGTCATGGCATACACATTTGTCTCCAAATGAGATAACTAGAGTAGTACTTAGCAAGATTAGGTGACTTCAATGGGGTGCCTTTGATCCCATGATTTGTTCTCTTGTTTTTCAGTTTTTCCCCTACATCCTGTTAATGTTTGCCATCCTCCTGTACCTGCCGTCCCTGTTCTGGCGTTTTGCAGCTGCTCCACATCTTTGCTCAGATTTGAAGTTCATCATGGAAGAGCTTGATAAAGTTTACAACCGCGCGATTAAAGCCGCAAGGAGCGTACGTGGCGTACGTGACGTGGACCTGAGAGATGGTGCCTGCCCAGGTCCGGGTGCTAATGAGAACGTAGGGCAAAGGTAACTTAATCCCCAGCAGGTACCTCATCAGGTTTTACACTACACATCCTTTGTCATTTTCCTGCCCTCCTGGGCTTGCAATTTCCATTGCCAGTAGATGGGGGGGAGGGGAGTGGGGGCGGTCATCTACCTGGCGACACTCTGTGGGAATCAGGAAGGCCTGCTCTCCCCAAATCTCACCCCTGCCTCTATACCCTAGCACCTGTTGTCACAAGAGTCCTTCCTTTGTTGAGTGAAACATCGCGGTCTCATGTTTTAAAATGCACTTCTAATAGGTAACAGGTTACGGTGCTAGGTGTGGCTTGCTTGCTATACCTTAATAGGGAAGCACAGTATTATGAGGCCATTGAACTCAGAGAACGAGTATGAGAAATGGGGAATGAGAAGGCAGTACCTTGCCTTTTTCACATTCTTCCTCTGGTCCTGGTTATCAACAACAGTAATAATAATATTAATAGCTTTCATTTTAAACATACTCACTATATCCCAGAAACCATATTGAGTTCTCTAAGTCTATTATGTCATTTAATCCTCAGAGCATCATTATCGACTAAGTGCATTTATTTATTGCACTCCCACCCATTTTTCAGATAAAAAAGCACTGAACTATAATTATCAATGGAAGAGCTGGGACTTGAACCAGATCTGTCAGCCCAGCATCCTGAGCCCACACACACCAAGATGTCTGCCTCCTGCCCCTTGCTTATAGGAAGCATGTATGTTCTAGTTCTTTTCTACTTTGTTCTGCACACTTGAGCAGAAAGTTGTAGTTTAAAAAAAAAAACCAGCAGAATGCAAACTATCGAATTTATTTAACAAAATTCACTAGATACTAGGTCTTGTTCTAAGAATTTACAAATATAACTCATTTAACTAGACCTTTTTTTAAATATTAAGGGGAAAGTGTTTTATAGTTCCTTTCCCTTCTCTTTTTTTTTAAACCTGATTTTATTCACTATTACGCAAATGAAATTATAGGTAGAGAAGTAAGGGAGGGAGGGCATTTGAGATTTTTAGTGTGATATTGTTGAATGTGTTTCCATCTTTAATATTTGATGATCTTGATAAAGATTTAAAATTTTTTTTTTTGGTTCAGTTTGTGGGAGATATCTGAAAGCTGCTTCAAGTACCCAATTGTGCAGCAGTACTTGAAGACAAAGATAAACTCTAAAAATTTAATCATCAAATACATCAGCTGCCGGGTGCTAACGCTCATCATTATATTGTCAGCATGCTTCTACCTGGGCTATTACTTTAGCCTTTCCACCCTCTCGGATGAGTTTGTCTGCAACATCAAATCAGGGATTCTGAGAAATGACAGCACCGTCCCTGATCGGTTTCAGTGCAAACTCATCGCAGTCGGCGTCTTCCAGTTGCTTAGTTTCATTAACTTCGTGGTATATGTCCTGCTGGTTCCTGTGGTTATCTACACGCTGTTTGTTCCATTCCGACAGACGACAGATGTTCTCAAATTGTATGAAATCCTGCCCACTTTTGATGTTCTGTGTTTCAAGACTGAAGGGTCCAACGACTTAAGACTCTACAATCTTTTCTTGGAGGAGAATATAAGTGAACTCAAGTCATACAAGTGTCTTAAGGTACTGGAGAATATTAAAAGCAGTGGTCAGAGCACTGATTCAATGACTCTCCTGACTAACCTTGGCATGATCAAGATGGATGTTGTCGATGGCAGAAGTCTCAGGCAGTCTGAGGTGATGGGACAGGAGCAGGAGAACCGGAAGGCAGAACTCAAAGGTAGGGTTAGCTTTCAGGTACTGGCTGAGTGGAACCCACAGAGTGCCTTTGCAGCCACCTTTTATGAATGATTGACAGTCTTTGCCTTGTCCACCATTGGGCATTAAACCATCTTCTTAGTGTGGTCTCAAGTGAAACCATTCAGTAGTGGGAGAGAGAAGGAAATAATTGGGACTGCCCCAAATTTACAAAGCAGGAAAGTGTCTGTACTTTTTCTAGACTATTCTCACTTCTCGTTCTCCTTCTGTCTCATACTCTGCCTGTTCCTCAAGCATTCCTCCTTACTGTCATTCTTGCTTATTTTTGTCTTGGTTTACTGGCTTTTCTCCCTGTACCTTTGACCCCCTTGTCTGTTGTTCTGTCTCTTTCAAAAGAACTGAAAGTTTATTGATTTAATTGTTGCCCTGACCTAACGTCACTGTGCTCTGAAATTTGGCTAAGAAGCAATACCTGACAAGGCAAAGACCATGAAAGCAGAAGAGAAGTCGATTCATGTTGATGGTTCCTGTTGTGTGACTTCTGTCATAAATATTTGTTTTCCATTTTGACAGATTTGAAAGTACACAGTGAAGCTGAAGCAAATAGTGGAGAGAAGAATGCTCGACAGAGACTTCTGGATTCTTCTTGCTCATGAGTTTTTTCTTGAACATCAGCTCCGTGACTTCTGTGACACGGAATTCATTTTGACTTAAGCATCTCTGTCAGATTTCAGCTGGTTCACGGTAAAGGGTTCCTGGTAGAGATACTGAGCACACCTTATTGAATCCCTAATGAAAATGGTCAACAAAACGTTTTGGGAAAATTGTTCATGAACTTCCTTCGAGAAGCAATACGGCTATAAGTAAATCACAACAAATATAGATGTGTAAGTCCTCATCAAATGAAAAGTGGAAAAACTGATCAAAGTAAGAGTCGTAGCCCTTTCAGTGCCTCAAAGAAACACCTTTCTGTACAGATGATGAGAGCCAGAGCTACTGAAAAGCAAGGACTTCAGGAGATTTTCAAATTTTGTTTATGAAATAATAATAAACGTGTCAGGATACAATTTAATATGAGTGTTCTACGTGCCCTAATGACTGTTGGACAAGAAAAGCATTCACTGGACCTGCTCTTGCCATTGACCTAAATTGGGAATGATGCTGGTGCCTGGGTTCTTGCACACCCTGGCTCTCTTTACACTGCTACTTGTCAACCTTGGCTACCTGGAGTCCTCTCGCCACTATTTGTTGTACTCTGCTAGGACGGGCGCAGGCCCAAGCATGCCCTGACTGAAAGCTTACTGAAGATAGAGTATAAAGGATATTTCTCTGTGACTTCTATATAGGCAAGAATGCTTCTAAAAGAGCCCAATGGGGAACTCTGAACATACGGAACAGGTTAATTCAGTCACTTTCTAAGGGGTTTTCTTCAGAGCGTTCCTCTGTTATCAAAAGCGTTTGAAACAGGATGTTACTTAAATTTACCCAACGCAGAATACTTAAAATAAGGAATATTTTGCCTATTGTGATCAGAACATGAAAATGACATCTGTCATATGGTGTGCTTGGAGTCAGAACAACTTAGCAGTTTATTTTATTTATATTTAAGTACATCTTTTAAAAATTCATTTAAATTTAGAATCATATGATATTAGAATTGAAGCCATTTGGGAGGAACATTCTAGCACTGATGAGGAATTATAGAATAAGTGTCACAAATGAGTATATAATACAATACCTAAGCATTATTTCATAAACATTTAAGGCTGATTCAGATTATATGAAAGCTTTTCCCAGTCCTGACCAGGTAAATACATCATAACTGCGTTTACATTTTATACACAGTTCTTTAAAATGACATCTGTGGACCTCTCCAATTTTATTCTTAGAAAGTGAACACATCGCTCAAGTGAGTAATCCTCAGGCACCTCAAAGTTTACATATGGCTCTTATGGACAGCCGTAGACCTGATCTAATGACTGTTCAGGGAAGAACAAACGTTTTATAAGCTGCTCTCTGCTTTTCAGAATATTCACAAAAGCAGATTTTACTTGTGCTTCTGCGATGGTTTCTGAGTTGGAGAGCTAATGATCAATATCAAGGATATAAACAGTGCTTTAACTTATTCTTATTGCGTATTTATTGCTGTTGAATCATAGTAGAGATGACAATAACCTAAATAATCGATTTTGCTACATGTTTATATCACTGTACCTGAGATATTCCATCACAGTGCTCTATACTTGTTACTTTTTATCATTTGAAAAGACTTGAAATATTTTTCTATGATATACTTTTTTTTTTTTTCTTTTTCAAAAAGCCTCATCTTCTCTATAGACTGCCCCTAGTTTGTATTTTGAAGTGGTAGAAGTAGATACATTATTTAGGAGACCAGGAACTCCTAAGTCCTGTCATGTGTAATCCTTTCATCAGAGTTATAATTGGAGTCCTTGATCTCAGTTCATTTCTCCATTCCCACACTCTGAGCTCCGACAGGGCCTGTGATGTCCCGGTTGTCACACTAGTCACTGGCTCTGTGGTTATGAAGGCGGGTCCCCATCTTTGAGGAGTGCAGAGTCTAGTAAAAGACAGCGAAGACAGGCAGGTGCCAAGAAAAAGAATACCCATAATAAAGGCCCTTCCAGAAAGCTCACAGCAAATTCTCTGTTTTCCTGGGAGATACCATGTTGTTTTTTCTCTTTCCCGTAGTTTCTCGTTACAGTTTTTCCCAGAGGCTCTTTAGCCACATGTCCCCCAGGAGGAAGCTTGGGCAAAACCATAACATAGATGGTGATTCTGAACAGTAAGAGCTCCAATTGCCTTTCGTATCTTACCTGGCAGGGAGTGGGAAGGAAAAGCACGCGGGGCACGCAGAGCTGCCCGAGAATAGCTGTCATGCCAGGAATAGGCTGATGTGGTTGCCTGGTCATATATTTTGGCTTGGAAAAAAGTGTCATTAGGAAAGTTAACCTATCCATCCATTGTGAGTTGCTGGCTTGGAGGACTGCTTCTGAGGAGCCAGATTCTCAAGGATGAGGAGTCATTCATTGGTTTTTAGAGAGGCACAGACCGATCCTAAATGAACCCCCGCCACTCCCCCCTCCCTTCCCCCACAGTACTGCTTGACTTTATCTCTGGCCGGTGTCTTCCTAGTAAACCACCACGAGACCTCAAAACCAGACCCATAACACTAGGGTTGCATCTGGGACCGGGACCCAGCTGAATGCAGTGTCCAGCTGTGCATATGATTTTACCAAGGGACCGGTAGAGACCCTCCAGTGCAGAGGCCCTTAAACTTTTGGGAGGCTATAAACGCCCTTACAAATATTTTTTGAAAGCTATGGACCTTCTCTTCTGATGTAAACACAACACTAAAGACACCTTCAGGGGTCATCATAGTCCACGCACCCAAGGTCAAGCCGCGCAGCAGAGAATGGAGGCTCCTGATGCTTTTATGGAAAGCTGCTGCTTCCACAGTAAGTTGCGTGGAGTGTAACTTCTGAATAACTGACTTCATTTTCTAGAGTTGGACTGGAAACGTCAATTAAGAGAGCAGGCGGCGGTAGCCTGGAGTGATCAAGCAGTTGGTATTGACCACTGTTCTCTCTCAGGCCACTAGGTGTGATCTTATTCCAGATCCAAATCATTGTCCCTGTGCAACCTCACTGGAATGTGAGGAGGGTGGCATAACACTTGTAAAGTGCTTCGTCCTACTTTGGAGTTGTATTGTGAGAAAGCTAGATACTTCCAGTTGGATGGCGGGTCTTGTTGCACGTTCATGCTTCATTGGTGGAAACTACCTAATCACTGAGTTTCCTCTCCTATTCAAGAATGAGCCAAGATGGGATGGGGAGCAGGGCACTGTGGGCCTTGTTCCTGGGAGAATTAGCTTGGCTCTTAGAGGCAAATCGTTGCACACCTTTTAAATACGTCCATGTTTGGTTTATTTCACTATTGTTAGTCCAGGGTCAACAGAAGATCCATGCAGGTGGGAGTTTTTATCTACTGCTGTACCTCAAGCTCCTAAAACAATGACTGGCATTTAATAGGCATTCTTAAATATTTGTTGAATGCATGAACACACTGTTATGATAAATCCTAGTTTGTTGGCAAACAATAAATCCTAGCTTTATTTGATTTTAAAAGGCAGATGATTCTCCACAGGAGATGGGAGGGGAGTCTTATTTAGTGTCTTGGTAAAGACAGGACTATTTCTGCAGATGAACAGATTTCCACATGTAAGTAGTGACAGTTCTGAGCTTTATGTTGTGGAGTAAGTCATGACCACTTTCTAAGTTCAATACAAGTTCAGTGTTTCCTCACAATGATTAGGGAAATTGATGTGTTAAAGGTCGTGGACTTGGTAATTTCCCAGAATAACCTCTTGAAAAAAGGATGTTGATTGAAATGTGCAATTATCAGTAATTGAGGTTTCGTCTGAGGGCACTGAGATGAAATAGCTCCTTCTCAGTATTCATTGGCATTTTTTGGCCCTATTTTTCACAAGTAAAGTGAAACCTTTTTAAAAAGGTTGGCAAAGATGATATTGTGTCATTTGTGGAATATAGTAGATGTTAATCCGTGATTGGTTTGTCTTGCCTGCCTTTAAATGAAATGTATTGTGTTCTGTGTTCTCTTTTTAGCTGTAAAAATACTTTGTCACTTAAACTATGTGGTTTGAATAGTAATTGTTATTTAAGTTCCTGAAAGTTATGAAAGCTTCTCATGCCTTGGGTGCTTTCCCCTTGCCCACCAGAAGAGGAAAATTCTTGTGAAATCTACAATGTCACAAGTGTCTCCTGCAAAAACTGAAGCCATCAGCTCCTCTATAACAAGTTGGCTTTCTAAAAGCATGATAATTACAATTTAATGGTATTCTGTAAAGTGGTGCTTCTAAGTGTAATTTAAGTTCCTTTTAATATCTAAATTTCTTCAAAACTTTTAAAGAAAAATATGTATGTTCTTTTTGCTGTGTCATTTGGTAAGAATGATTGGTTTCTAGTGCTTAGAAATCAAAGGATGAGAACATATGGTTTAGAAAATGAGCCTTAAAAGCAGCTCAAGAACCTTGACAGCTCTGCATTTTGGAGGCTATCACTATTACATTTCATATTTTCATGTAAGTCACTTGTCCAAGATCTGCATTCTGATCATGCCAACTTTGATTGAGGAGGAATGAAAGGCTGAAGATCAAGGCTGTGGTGTTCATAGATAAAGGCAAAACAGTATTTTGTTTCACACTGTTATGTCCACCTAAATAAAACTTCTCTGAGTAATGAAAAATGTCTTCATATTTTTTGCCTTCTCCTCAGGGAAGATGTAACAGAAGATGAGCCCTGAAATAACTTGAGGCTCATTCCTTTCTGCTGGATGCATAAAATTCAGTAGGCTACATAGTACTTAGTAAAACCCAACTGGCAGTAAAGAAAGGAAGAAGGCCTTGATTAAAGGGCCCACAGATTCTGGAATTTCTAAAGCAGAAATCACATACTTTCTGATTGGGGATTGTTTGCCAGAACTTGGAGAGAAAGCAATAGAGACTACATGCTGCTAAATATAGGTTGGCCTGCCCACCTCTCTCCAGGTCAATTAACACAATTGAGTATTGTGGGTAATAAATCAGAGCCATTAGAAATCTTAGTACAGTGCTTGCCATAGAGTGAGCACTCCATACATGCTGGCTGTGATTCTCATGGCGCCCCAGGAACTGTGGAAGTCGTATTCATTTTCTATTGTTCCGTAACAAATTACCGCTACCTTAGCAGCACACATTATCTTGCAAGTTTTCCTGGGTTAGGAGTCTGGACATGGCTGAGCTGGGTCCTCTGCTCAGGGTCTGACAAGGCTCCAGTCAAAGTGTGGACAGACTACATTCTTCTCAGAGGCTCCACGGGGGAAGAAGCTGCTCTCAAGCGCCATCAGGTTGTTGGCAGAATTCATTTTCTTGTGATTGTTCGACTTTCTACTGAGTGTTGGCTGGTGGCTGCCCACAGTTCCTTGCCACATGGGTTTCTCTAACATGACTGCTTATGTCATCAAGCCCATAAGGATTGTCTCTCACCTCAGGGAAGGCCTGGTCCCTCTTTTCAGGGTTTTGACCTGATTAAGTCAGGACACTCCCTTTTGCTTAATTCAAAATCAACTGCTTTGGGAACTTAATCACATCTGTGAAATCTCTTTACCTTTGCCATATTCTGTTGCCAGAAGCAAGTCACAGGCTCCACCCAGACTTGGGGGGAGGAGATTACACAGGGCATGAACATCAGGAGAATCATGGGGGCCACCTTATGGTCTGCCTGCCATAGAAGTTGTCCTAAATCCCAACCTCTCTGTCTATGGGCCTGTAGTTGAACCTCTTCAACATCCTTCTGAGGCCTCTCTACATTCCCAGTTTTATCTTTCAGGCTCTGCTCACTTCTTTGCGGAATTGCTCTAGTAGTGTCACATGTCTAACCCATTTTCCACATTCCTGTGAGTGGCCCTTTTTGAATGCAAATCTGATTATGCTAAGCCTCCCTACCCTCCACACCCACCATTTTAAATCCCTCCAGACTCTTCATGGACTTAAGGATAAAGAATAAACTTGTGGTTGAGACCACACAAAGCCCTACCTCCTGCCCACTACTTTAGTCTCATCCCCTATGGGTTTAGGAACCAACCCTTATGACCTCATTTACCCTTAATTACCTCCTAAAGACCCGATCTCCAAATACAGCCACATTGGGGGGCAGGACTTCAACATACGAATTTTGCAGGGGGACACAGTTTAGTCCATAGTTGGGGCTACACCCAAGAGAATTGAAAGAGGATCTAGAAGAGATATTTGTACACCCATGTTTATAGCACCATTATTCACAATAGCCAAAATGTGGAAGCAACCCAAATGTCCATTGGTGGATGAATAAAGAAAGAAAATGTGGTCCATATACACTGTCCTTAAAAAGGAAGGAAATTCTGACATGACAACATGGATGAACCTTCAGGACATTATGCTCAGTAAAATAGGCCAGTCCCCAAAACAAAACAAAAACCATACCAAATAAGTATGATTCCACTTTATGTAAGGCTTCTAGAGCAGTGAAATTCAGAGACAGAAAGTAGGATGGTGGTTGCCAGGGGCTGGGGAGAGGTGGACACCGGAGTGGTGTTTAATGGGGTTAGAGTTCAGTTTTGCAAAATGAAAAAACTTATGGACATTTGGTGCACAACAATGTGAATATACTAAATACTACTAAACTGTACACTTTAAAATAGTTACAATGGTAAATTTTGTGTTATGTACTTTACCTCAATAGAAAAACAAAGCTCCAGCATCTCCTGCAGGAAGCTGTCTCTGACCTCCCCTCTCCCTCTACCCCAATTCAGATATTTCTCCTGTGCTGCTGATAGCGCACTGCCTCAGCGCTTAGTGCGCAGGAGTAGTGCAGTGGTGTTCTTGTCTGTCTCCCACCAGCTAGTGAGGCCCTCAAAGGTGGGGGTGGTGGTGACTTCCTCATCCCTGTATCCTCAGAACCTGTCCCACAGCCAGACACCCAGACCCTAAGGAATTATTCATAGGGGACCCTCATGTCCTCCATGACTATCTTCCAAGAATGCCCCGTGTGGCTAGGAGGATTGGATACCATCAGTCTCCACCACTGCTCCCTCCATTTTGCCTAATTCAAGGTAGCCAAGTACAAGGCATCCTCCACTTCATTCTCCCATTTTAGTGACTGAAGACTTAACCGGGGGCCTTTCGAAACACTTCTAAAGAGCTTTCCTGGTTGCTGGTTTCTTCACCAGCATTCATACTGAGTGTACATCTGAGTAGCCTCACTTCATTTTCTAGGGGTTCTAACATACGTCACCTTATTTGAGCCCTGCAGTCAGGTGTGGTATTCATTTGAAACACTGGTGCCATTGTAGTAAGAAGAAAACAGTGACGCCTTTTTATGTTTACAATTTGTGCCCAGTCAAGAAAGAAGCTTAGTCTATGATGCTCCCCCTACACCACCAACCATGCCCACCCCCACCCCCACAGGGGTGAGGGGAGTGGGTAGGGAGAGACCCTGACTGGAGGCTGCTGACCTGGGCCAGCAGCTCTATACTCCCCTTCTTGGATGTGCAGTGAAAAAAGAGAAGAAACAAAATAAAGGCTCTTTCATGATACACGCACGAGGCTGCAGACTGACCCCTCAGGGAACAGAGAAGCAAATCAAGTGTGGAGAATAAAGGAAAATCAAAATACGTTTTCCAAGAGCCCTGTTCCACTGTTTCAATATGTCTTTTCTTAGACACAAGGAAAAAAAAATCAAGAGAAGCTAAAGTGCTATCAAAAATCACTTCCAAGTCCCCAGAAATGTAATTCTCATTTCAGGAAGCAAAGAGTCCAATAGAACCTGCACTTCCATGGAAACTTCAGGAATATTAAATGAAATACTCTGATGGAAATTTCAGAGGTAAAGGGACCGTAAAGATTTTAATACTCAATGCATTTATTCATTTTGAATATCAAAACTGCCTGTTACAAAGGAAGAATTGTTGAATATAGAGGCCCTTGAGGCTCTTTACAATCTTTCCAAGTACTTTATAAACAATAGCATCCCTTGAGATAAGGGAGGTTTCGTTTAAGAAAAGAGAATAGAAATTGCCCCAAACTAAGGCTGCTACAAAAAGGAGCAGAAAAAAAGAGCAAGCATTAAACAGACAAAGGATGGCCTAGACAGGCTAGCCAATAGCCAATGATGAAGGCCACATAAGTAATTTAAAGTCTTCTGGCCACATAAAAAGGATAAAATGAAACAGATGAAATTAATGTTAAGACAGGTAATTATTTAAACTAACCTAATATATCCAAAATATTATTATTTCAACATGCAACCAATACAAGTAGTAATGCGATTTGTACATTTTTTGTACTAAGTCTTTGACCCAGCATGGATTTTATACTTACAGCCCATCTCATTGCAGACTAGCCTTGTTTAAAGCGTTCGGTACTATGACGAAGGAAGCAAGGATATATAATGGCATGAAGACAGTCTCTTCAAAGTGATGTTGGCAAAGCTGGACAGATACATGCCAAAAAAATGAAATTGGACCACTTCCTTGCACCATATACAAAGATAAACTCAAAATGGATTTAAGACTTAAAAGTTAAACCTGAAGCCATAAAACTCTTAGAAAAGAACATCGGCAGTAAACTCTCTGACATCACTCTTAGCAATATCTTTTTGGATATATCTCCTCAAGCAAGGAAATAAAAGAAAAAATAAACAATGGGACTACATCAAACTAAAAAGTTTTTGCACAGCAAACTATCGACAAAATGAAAAGACAACCTACTAAAAGTGAGAAGATATTCACAAATGATACATCCCGACATGGGGTTGATGTCCAAAATATATAAGGAGCTCATACAACTTAACACCTAAAAAACAAACAATTCAATTAAAAATGGGATAGGACCTGAATAGTCATTTCTCCCATGAGGACATACAGATAGCTGACAGACATATGAAAAGATACTCAATATGACTAATCAGGGAAATACAAATTAAAACCACAATGAGATATTACCTCACACCTGTCAGAATGGCCATCATCAATAAATTAACAAATGAGTGCTGGCCAGGATGCGAAGAAAAGGGAACCCTCATACACTGTGGGTGGGATTGCAAATCGGTGCAGCCACTATGAAAAACAGTATGGATATTCCTCAAAAAAATTAAAAATAGAGCGGTGATACAATCCAACAATTCCACTCCTGGGTATTTATCCAAAGAACACAAAAACACTAATTCAAAAAAGATGTATGCTCCCCTATGTTCATTGCACTGTTGCTAGTAATAGCCAAGATATGCAAGCAACCTAGATGTCCATCAAAGATGAATGGATAAAGATATATATACACATATATATATACATATATATACATTATATAATACATATATATTTACACACACACATACACACACATATATATATATAATGGGATATTATTCAGCAATAGAAAAAAAATGAAATCCTGCCATTTTCACTGTGTAAGCGACACAGTGGAAAGTTTGCGAACTTAATTGTCCAACCTCGTACATGGACCTAGAGGGTGTTACGCTACATGGAATAAGTCAGACAGAGAAGGGCAAATACTGTGTAATCTCATTTATATGTGGAATCTTAAAAAAAAAACAAAAAACAAATAAATAAAATAGAACAAGCCCATAGATATAGACAGCAAGCTGATGGTTGCCAAAGGAGAGGGGTGGAGGGACGGGAATTTAATAAATACATA